ATTTTATTTTTTTTTGAGCCATTTAGGTTACCAAGGGACGGCGTGCAGGTCTCAGGCTCTGTCCGCCAGGATGGAGTGCAGTGGCCGGATCCAGCTCACTGCAAGCTCCGCCTCCCGGGTTCACGCATTCTCCTGCCTCAGCCTCCCGAGTAGCTGGGACTACAGGAGCCGCCACGCGCGCCCGGCTAGTTTTGTATGTTTTTTAGTAGAGACGGGGTTTCATCGTGTTAGCCAGGATGGGTCTCGATCTCCTGACTCGTGATCACCCGTCTGGCTCCTCTAAAGTGCTGGGATTACAGGCGGTTGAGCCACCCGCCCGGCACCACTTTAAATTATTATAGTCCTAAAATAATTTATATGATATCATATATCTACGTATTGAATGCATTAGGCAAATTCCCCAACCCCCATTTTGTCTATAAGAACTTTTAGAATCATCTTGTCATATAGTTTAAAAACAGTTGGGATTTAAGTTGATACCTGCATTGAATTTACCTATTTATATTGGGGGAGAATGTGCCAAATGACAATATTGTGTCTTACCATCTAGGAATATGAGATTTTCCCATTTTTTTCAAGTCTTTTTTATCACCTTTAGAAAAGCAATAGTTGTTTTCTTTATTATACCACGTGCACGTTCTTAGTTGGGTTATTCCAAGATCATCAGTATTATAGCTTTTATGAATGGAACATTTTTCATTATATTTTCTCAATCGTTTGCCTGGACTATATGGAATTGATTTTTTGGGCATGGCTGATATATCCAGCAAAAACCTTTACTGAACTATAATTTTGTTTCTGAGAGGTTTCTGATGGTTCTTTCTTACAGGATGTCTGAATCTTCCAAGTAAAAAACCAGTAGGCTCCTTTTTTCCTTAGATCAGGTTGATCACATTTTAACATGCACACAAATTACCTGGGAGTATTGTTACAAGTGTAGATTCTGATTCAGTAGGTTTAGGATGGAGCCTCCAGAATTCTGTGTTATGTCCTCCAAGCTCACCGGTGAGTAGATGCTGAGGCCTTCGACACGACTTGAGTAGGTGAGGGGCTAGACAATGCTCTTCATGTGGATTCAACATAAGATACCGATGTTCCTCTTAGATTCATGTAATAGATAACTAGTGCTAACACCCGTGAAACGAAGAATCTGTATATAAGTTCAGTCAAAAAAAAAATGACTCCAGGGAAGGTTGTGGAAAGTGTCAGTAGTTGGAGAGCTTTGGAATACCATGCTGGAACCTATCTGTTGCTGGTGTCACAGGGTCTGGAGAAACTTGTATAGCAGCAACCCGGAGGGGGTGTAGGTTCGTGCCTGGGCGGTGAAGGGACAGGAGCAACAGCATTAAGGTGTTATACGTTTGGATGAGAAATAGCACTGGATGTGCTCGGGTCATAAGTCCGCCAGTTGTACGCGAGGAGTAGAGGTCCGCTGATGGGTCCAGTGGGGTCTAGTGACTTCATCTATTACTAGTTTCGGGCGCGCGGGAAATTGTGTGACGGGCGGACGTGGATTGAGGTTGGAGACTGAGTAGGTATACCCGTCTAGGATGTGCCAGCCCTGGATCGAGCAAGGGCCCGCCGTGCGCACATGTGTCGGCAAGAGGCTGAGCTAGAGGACAGGGCTGCTTTGTGGATTCATACTGAGAGAGGATGCGAATCTAGTAGGTTTTCGGTCACCTTCGGCTGTCAAACATCCTTGGTCGATTGTATCCGTATGTCTTGGAATTTTCCAGGACGTGCAGGCTGGTGAGGACCTATTCCCAATCCAAATAAATGCATCCCAATAAATGGGCCAAAGAAAAAAACTGAAATTATCATTCAAGTGTAAGATTTCCAAACAAGTGAAAGAGATTAACGCTCAGGAAGATTGTTCTAATCAACAAGAGTAGCTTTTCTGATGCTGTGGGCTTAGTTGAGATTTCAGGCATTTCGCGCATTTGTGCGTAGGCTATTACAGGATGGAAGGGGATATACTAATGTCTTGTGTTAGGCATGGCCAGGATGGTCTTGATCTCCTGACCTCGTGATCCGCCCGCCTCGGCCTCCCAAAGTGCTGGGATTACAGGCGTGAGCCACCGTGCCCGGCCGGAGTTGGCTTCTTTATTGTCTGTTCAGTACATCCAACCCCTCTCTCAAAGGTTGTCACCCCAACTGGATACACACCCTGGCAGAGGCACATGCGTAGCTTGAATGAGGGTTATTTTGTGTCTAATTCACAGGACAGTCATGGGTGGGATACCTGTCATCCTCTGCCTTTCCAGCTGCCCAAGTGAAAAAACCTCAATCCTGGTCACCCTTGCCCCAGTTGCCCACCTCCCTGGCATACAGTAGGTGTTCAATAAATGTTTATTGAAGGAAAGGTGATTGTTCCTTCTGCTGGAAATACCACAAGGGTGGTGACACAAACAGAAGGGTTTGGTCAGTCACTCCACAGCACAGTGTCCGATCCCAAGAGGTGATAAAGCCTGGCATGGCCACTGTGTGGTGCCGTATGACACTGGTCTCCCACACTGGGAATGGAAGAAAAGTAGCTTTCCTAGAGGTGCCTTTAGGGTGACCCATGAGGAAGGACACTGCCCAAGGGTTTGGGCTGGGATCTCTTAATTAAAACAGGAGGCTCTAGTCACTGAGGGTGAGCAAAGAGCTTTTTATTCAAAGAAAGAGGCAAATTGCACCCACTCTCTCTCCCTGTAAGATCTCATCGGGTTTTGACATCAGTTGCAATGCTTTCAGTTTGAGGCTAAGCAGAATGTTATGCTGTGAACGGTCACCACAGACAGACCAGTGTCGCTGGTATAGGGAGGCGAGGCTCAGGGTTGGACAGGTTAATTACCTACATAACCCTGGCTGTGGCCCAGCCCAGCACCTTCCAGAACAGGGACTGACATGGCTGAGGTCTACCTTGGAGATGGGGTCAGTGATGAGGGGAGGCAGGGTCTGCCTCTGTGCAGGTAAAATGCCCCCTCACCCCAGCCTTCCTTTCCAGAGCAACCAATCTGAAAACACTTTGGCTTTGGGGCTGCTGTGTACCTCTGCTTTCAGGCCAAGCTGGATCCCTAGAAGAGGAGTTTGAAACCCAATGTGCAAGTTCTCCTCCTATTGCCTCCATTGTCCTCTCTCTATCCCTGAAATCCAGGAAGTCCCTCTCCTGGTGCTCCAAGCAGTTTGAAGCCCAATCTGCAAGGACATTTCTCAAGGGCCATGTGGTTTTGCAGACACCCCTGTCCTCAGGCCTGAACTCACCATAAACACCCATGTCAGCAGTGACCAGCAAATCCTCTTCCCTTATTCGAACTGCTGCCCCTTAGGAGACTCCAGCGGGCAGGCATTGCTTCCTCCTTGGTGTGAACTCTTTGGTATTCCATCCACCACCCTGGCAGCCCAGAGATGCTTCTGAGTTAGGACAACAAATAGGGGGGCCCTATAGTCAGAGCAGCTCTTACCCAAAGTGGGGAGCGTCGACGTCCTGTCCAGATTGCAAGTTAATGGCCTTTACAGCTGACTCAGGCTCCTATGTTGTTATTAATAAATATTAAAGCTGATAAGGACCAAGAA